ATAATAGTTAAGAATCAATTATAATCCTAAAATGCTTGTCTTAATTTCATATAAATTAAATCAAACATTTAATGATCTATCATACTTTTTATCTATTATAAAATAAAATATATATAAATTATATTTTTTTGAAAAAAAAGTTAGAAAATATATAGAATTTTTTACCTATTATATTATACAATAAAAGAATATTCAAAATATATAATAGATTATGTTAAAAAGGTTCTCTATTATTTAATTTTATGTTTATTCTTTATTTCTTATAAATTATTTTTGATTTATAAATTAATAAAAAATAACAACTTTTTAATATTTCACATTAAATTCTTTATTATTACATTGATAATTCTAAGAAAAATAGATTTATAATTTTGAAAAGATCTATATTAAATAACAAAACTTTAAATAAATGCTATTAAACCATTAAGATCTAATTTATTGATTTATTACACTTCTGCTTACATGTAATACAATCGGAACTGAGAAATTGAAGCTACTTTTTATCCATACTTATCAAAATCCATGAATATTACATGAAAAAAAAGGAAGATTTACCAGTTAATTATTACTTAAATTCAACTGCTTAGATAAATGTATGAGATCACGTGCTAGACTTGAACCTAAAATTGTGAAATTTTCTCTCTTTTAGATATTGATGATCATCATCGATTTTTTTTTTTTTTAGCAAAAAGAATTCAGAATTCAGATTTTAGAATTTATGTAATTGTCCCTTAATCGTGACTTGTGACACTTATTGACTCGATTATTTTCATTTATAAAGATCAAAAAAAAAAATTATTTTTTTTTTTCCTGATTATCTCCCCTCATCGGTTATTTAATAATGATGATAAAATTACAAACATCAACCGCACTATCAATAATGAATAAGTATGTTGTAAATAATACTATAAAGTTAATTCAAAGAAAAGAATTCAAATGCTTTTTATGTAATAAACAATACCGAGAATTTTTTAATGCAAAGGATGAAAAAAAATATAAATATTCTCTCTTTGATAGTGGTAAAAGTAGATTCACATCGTCATCAAAATTATTCACAACAACAACGTCAATACCATCAACTATAACAACGACCACGACATCGATAACAACCCCAACAACGATCATGCAAACAACAATTTCATCACCTACAACCACAACAGCAAAAGACATAAAACAAATCGAGCAAATTGAAATAACCATCAAAAACCTTCAACGATTGATTGAAGATAAAAAAGTTGAATTAAAAGATATAGAAACATTTCCCGAAATAACAAACCTATTAATTAAACAATTAATAGAATTAGAAATTAATAATGGAATGAAGTCAATCATGTGGATATATGATAGATTTGGTGATGATAGTGATTACAATGTATTAACACACGAATCAAAAGGTTTAATCATTCGAGAATTATTAAAGTACAAACTAAGGGAAAAGGCGGTAATGATAATGCAAAAGATGTTAATCGATGATAATTATATACCCGAATCTTCATTAATTCATGAGTTGATCGATAACCTCGGTCGTAGATCTAATAAGTTATATTTGATTGAAACCCTATTTGATACAATAATAAAAAAGGAAATACGCGAAATAGATTACAGTAAAATTTATACAAAACTTATGGAATTAGAAATTTCAGCTTTTAATATGGACAAAGCTGTAAAATATTTTAACGAAATGAAAGAAAAGAAGGGAATTGAACCTAATGAAATCAATTACCTTTTTTTAATTAGTGGATATTCTAATATGAACATGATGGATAAAGCCGAGTATTATTTTAATTTAATGATCGAAGAGAACAAGATAACACCAACGATTGAAATCTTTACAACTTTGATTAATCATCATTTAAGATTATTAAACATTGAAAGGTCAGAACAATTTTTTAATGAAGTAATTGAATCGAATATTCAACCGGATATCGCAACATTTTCAACCTTGCTAAAAGGATACCTTAATGCTGGAGATACTGTTAGAGCTTTACAAATTCACGACATGATGCGAAAGTATGAAATCATACCGAATCGAACTTATATTACACATTTAATGAAGGTTTATATTCAAAACAAGGATTTTGAACAGGCGGAAAAGGTTTACACAATGATTGAACAACCCACGACGTCCAGAGCAACATCATCATCATCTCAGCAAGTAAATTCTGATTTAATTAAATCCAACATTAAAAGCTTAACTTTTCATTTAAAAACTTTATTGCAAGAGACAAGAGATAAAAATTATGCATATGAATTATACAAGAAATATTTGGAAAAGTTTGACAATTATGAATTGAAGTTTACTCCTGATACGTACTTTTTTACCATATTTATTTCTTCATTTGCTCAACAATTCCTTGACGTTTCTTTGGCCGTTGAATTATTTGAAGAAATGAAACGTCGTGATATCAAGCCTTCAATCGTTACTTATACTATATTAATTGATGGTTTTGCTTTAAAAGGCCAGGTTGATGAGGCCGTGGAATACTTTGAAAGAATGAAACAAGATTCTATCAACCCTAATATTTATACCTATACAAGTCTGATCAAGGCTTGGATTCAAGTGCGTAGGATAGATAAAGTGAAAGAAGTTTATAATGAGATGATTAGTAAAAACATTAAACCTGTTAGCGCTACCTTGAGGGCTTTACAAAAAATTCGACGAGGAGATTTAATTGATCAAACTCCAAAATCACAAAAGGAAGCTCATTATTGGGGTGGTAAATTATGGGTATCAAAAGACGTTGAAACGATCGATAGATTATTTCAAAGTTTCTTATTATCCGTGTCAAATTCTTTTTCCAATAATGATGATTATAAACCTAATGTTAAAACTTTTCGTTACTTTATTAATTGTTATTTATTTAAATACGAAAATTTAACTAAAGCTTTACAAGTTTTTCAAGAAATGGTAAAATTGAATATTAAACCCGATTATTTAATTTATTGTTGTTTTATTAAAGGTTGTTGTATGCTAGGTCAAGTTGAAAAATCAGATTCTATATTAGAAATCATGAAAAGTCAAAATATCAGTCCCAATGATTATATTTATATTAATTTAATAAAAGGTTGGAAAAAAATTCGAAGAAAAGATAAATGTGAAGAATTGCATAAAGCATTAATGAAATTTAAGCGAGAGAAGGAAAAGTATTAAATAAAAAAAAAATCATCACTTTTACAAATGTTTGATTAGCATATTAAAGATCTTTCTTTAATCTATATTAAATTAAGATCTTCCAAACTTATAAACTCGCTATTGATTCTCTATTATAAATAAACACTATTATTACAACAAAAGGGCAATAATAATTTTAATGGCAATTACGTTGACATCCAAAGATTCGATAAATCTAATCCTTTTCCCAAATTCTCATAAAACTCATGAGTAATAATAATTTACAATTGTACATACCTGTGGATTCAAATAAAAATATAATTAATGTAAATCTTTTATTATGGATTAAGATCAATTTTTAATTAAGAAACGTACGTGGCATCTATTTGAGTTAATTGAGGTAAATGGGTTTTGATTTTTAGTCTATATGTTGCATGATTATCCACTTGCATTGGATTTCCTTCCAGATAAACCGTAGTCATCTTTTTAAGATGGGCCAATTGCACTGATAATTCTTCGAAATTTGTTAATTGATTATTACTAGCCTTAAAATAAGAAAAAGAAAAATATTAAATCAACTAAAGTTTTGTTATCAACTTTCAAACGATCATAGATAACTACCCAAAATTCTTCTAATTCCGTCAAATGAGATATATTTTCAATTTTTTTTATAAGATTGTTGCTAATATCAATGACTCTCAATTTCAACTATAAGATATAGAATTGTGTTATTAAATCCATGAAAAAATAAAATAAGATAGATAATAAAGATACAAACATTCTTTTCAAACCCTTCAAGTTTCTGAATACCATTATGACTCAAATAGATTTCCTCCAAATTAACCAAACCCTCCAATCCCTTTAATTTAGTCAAACGATTACTTTGTATACTAAGAATTTTAAGATTCCTTAAGCTATTCAAATTCTAAAAGAGATGTTATTTAGTTTCAAATATTTACAAAATGATAATAACAAAATTAAAGAATTGGTTCAAACATTTAATTCTGCAATCTTATTCTTTCCAAGCCACAATTGTTCCAAATTAACAAGTTTATCTAAATTTTCAATGACCTAACAAAATAATTCTCGTAAATATATATATATAACTATATTTTTTTTTAAATAAAAATAAAAAGATTGAAAGATAAACATACATACTCTAATTCTATTTGCACCCAATTCCAAATTAGTTAAATTTACCAAAGTGTCCAAATTT